CAAATTGAATAGGTGTCAGTGTTACGGATTGTCTCTCATCGGGCCAGTTTTCACTTTCCGTTTCCATGCCTCTGCGGTTTCTTCCACTTTCAAATGGAATTCACTCCACTACAAATATATGGTAGTTATTTCAATAAAATTAAATTTAAATATTGCTCCTATTAATTTCCCTTCTTGATTTGAATCAAAACCATCTATACCTCTTCCTCTTATCAAGTGCACTACAACTTGGTTTATTAACTATCAATTAGGCAGAAATAATATTTTCATTCGCCTTATACAGGATTACTATATTGAATATTTATTAGCTGCTACTCCATCTGCAGATTAGATAATTAATCGCAAGAAATTACCGTTGCCTCACAAAAACGGGAGAAATCTGCCACTGTGCAGAGTAAGTGGCCGCACAAACGCATTTCTAATATGCAATATGCGCTGTTTGAAAGTAAAAGTTAAAAAATTTCACTAATGCAATAATAATGGACGCGCGTTACGTTCGAAGAGGTGTATTAAATTGAAGGATGAATTGGTTAATAGATTCAAATGTTGAACAAAATTGCAAGACACATCTTCAAGGTGCACCTACACAGCATTTGGTATTAATTAAATTTAACACTCTATAGTTAGTTTTAAAATCCATTATACTTTTTACACGATAAATATGTTCAATGTATGTGGTAGGGTAGGTCATTTCTATGATTAGAACCTATTCTATTTGGCACTTTGTTAGACCTTTACTGGTTCATTCCAAAGATGCGTGCGTTCAATTTAAGAATAGGATTCGTTCTGTCGGCCATTGGAGTATCATAATCGGTCACCATCAATTCGGATTTCGCATATAACATTCTCGAAACGACAATAATTACGCTAGGCCGTCACGAGAAGCTATATCGCACTCAGGTAACCTATTTAGCGAAGCCGAAGTTTGTTGAACCGCCCGTTCGAGGTTGCGATGGAGAGGCAGCCCGGCCCGCCATTGGTCTACCCGAAGTACATGTGTTGTTTTTTGCATTCAACCTCCAGTTTAATTTCATCTTGCCCCAGATTCTACGGCAGCCCGACGGAGGTGAACGCACTAGCCTCGCCGTCGGGCCGACGCGACCTCAATATTCTCGCTTCTGGCCTTTTGTAACCGAAGCGAGCGAGGGATAGCGATCTCGCACTCTGACGGTAGGCTAGAAACGTAGTGACACGGATATAACTGGTAGAGGTGGACGAATTTTTACTAAAAGTATTCGTTACTTACAAGCACTGGTGACTACAGAGCATTGGAATTACCTAGGAATGTCCCATTGAGACTCTTTGAACTCATTGGTCTTCTAAAAGCTTATATTGTATAGCTTTCTAGATGGTTTAGAACGTTTATAGCTCATCTGGAATGGTCTCCAAAGACCTAGATCCAATCTACTTGTGTTTATTCTGGAGACTTTAAGACTTAATCGAAGAGACTTCTTCTTAGTCATCTTTCAAATGCTTAAAAAATTGAGAATAGAATCTCAATATAAGTAAGACTTGGGTTACCAAAAGGCACTTGACACACCTTAAGAACCAGCTCTTAAATCCTCCAGAACTATTGTCCTACCCAGAGCTTCAGATCCCTTCGTAGACACAAAAAGAAGCAACCTGGAGACTCCCTTTGGTCTTCTAAGTGCATAAAAATTAGTTGAAGTTCAACTGAACCAAGGGACTTCAAAGGAATTTCTGGTTCGAGTAACGGTTACGGTGGTGTAACGGTTACCTTCCGCCTCTACTAGTGACGTCGGTGGCAGTTGTTGGAATAAAAGTAAGCGAACGAAAGAGAGAGACGAGCGTATTGAAGGCGAAAGATAGATTATGCGTTGAAGGCCGAGGTGAATGAACTAGTCTCTGGCGGAGGCTCTCATGCCCTAGATATTGCCGTTTCGTCGATTGAAAAGTGAAAACAGAACCGATTCGATGGTACTCGGTGCGAGGCTAATTTTGAGAGGAAAAAACTATGATCGAATTTTGATGAAGAAAAGGTCCAAATAACAACAATATTCACTAACCAGATAACTACTATCCTTCGATAAGCAAATGAAAATTGGTGATGTAAAGGTTTTCATTCATAGCGGATCCGTCACCAGAAGTACCGATTTAAAAAAAAAACAACATACCTGCCAAGACTTTTCCCAATAAATTTTCGTTCTCGTTTTCCGGCTGTGGCTGCCGCTGGAAGACGTTTTCCTCGATTTCCATGTCTTCGACCGGTCCGGCTGTGGCACAAGCAGTCTCTTTGTATTCGTTAACTGTCATATTTTTGGCGTGGAATTTACGTAACGTCGACTGGTCCTTTCAGCACATCGTCGAACACTCGCAAAAAAACCCCGACTCAAAATACTTGGAATTTTCCAAAAAGGCTCGGCGCAAATTGTTAAATGCCCAACCGCTACGCCGATAGAGCACGAGTGCGGTGTTGGAAATTCGAAATTCGAACGTTACAGCGCAGCTCGCTGGGATCGAGAGTGTTGGGCTTGCTCGAATGCTCGTTTGTTTCAGCGTTGACCCACTAACTCATATCCTTCGGTGGAGCGGTCAAAGCACTCTTGATGGATAGGTATTTCGGTTTTTTTTTATTATTGTTGTGTTGGTTGGAGCAAAGAGAATTTTCGCCGGAGTGAAAGGGGCGCCATGTTCGGCGGTACTTTCGCTTTTTTAATGGCTGCTTGACTGCGATGTCGTTAACCTATGCCAACGTTTCATTTCTTTTAATGATGTGTTTTAATGAGGATTTTAACGAGAATTTACCCCGAGGGGTTGCCTCTAAATGTTCGTTTTGTACAGTCTTCATTTTTGAATACTGTTGGTGACAATTCCAGTTGTGTATTAATAGTTTTCTGATGATAAATGGTTAATATTCATTAATTTGTAGATAGGTTTCTTTGTGGCCTAATTAGAAAATTGTCCCAATAAATTTCCAATTTTAATACTTCAAATATTCAAAGACTACAAATTTGTAAACGGAATTTGCAAAACAAAACTTTCTTCTCATAATTTTCACTGGTAAATCCTTATTCTCTTGGTCTTTATTCTTCTATATCCTTCTATTATACTAGTCACGTTTCCAAATCTTCATCTATTTTTAAATTGTGATTTAGGAGTTACGGATATTTTTTATACAAATTTAAAGAGCTATAACTTTTTAAGGAAGCAACATTTAACTAAATTATAAATAACTTAATTTTAAGCTAGACGTCCTGTATAGAATTACAGAAGTTATACATTTTAACTCCATATGTACATTCTTTGACGATTCTTTGTGATTCGATGGACAATAAAATTCGAAGGCATTGAATACTTTTGATTTAATATTCATTTTACCATCTATTCCAATCAGATTAGGTGGATTAGGAATATAAAATAATAATTAACATATTCAACATAAAATATTAGAACTTTCAGCATATTTGTTTCTTCATTAGGTAGAGTTAAATCCTCTTATAGAAATTCCTATTAAACTACTGGAAGTTATTGGATCTAGGTACTGCCATCCAAATCTTCTAAGCATATTAATTGCAATATTTCAAGCACTGGATAAGGTCTTTATGCAGGCTCATTTTAATTTGTAAATCAGATGCTTTTACTTCGATTTGGTGATGCCAGGAAATTAATACAAGACTTAAAATCGCATCCAACTTTGATACAATTTGTTGACTTAATTCCAGCAATGCTAACTAACATATATCTTATGCTCGGTTTAATAAAATTTTTATCGGCATCGTTCTCGCCTCGTAAATCCATCGATACGAAATTGTTATGCATTACAAAAAGCGAAAACAAATTTCGATTTCTATAAGAACTGACACTCTCGATTGCGGTGTCCGTGAGAAAGTCTAACGTCACAGTTTTATTTACCTCAGACCCAAATAGAGTTTCTTGAACTTCACCGTAAAATCTAGGTCGATGAATAACCGAGTCCTACCGAGAAAAAGAGACGGTCGCATTGGCGATCGGCGTGCGTCAGTGCGAGATAGACGCATTCAATCAAAGCCGCAGATAAATGTGTAAAAGTGATAGTGATAAATAACACGAAATTGCCGTTTGCTCGGTGGGAATGGTACTATAACCGAGTCGTACCGACGTTTTCTTCTTCGCTTTTTTTTAGTTAGGGTACCGTTTGTTGTTATGACATACGTGCCAAGATGGCTTGAGGTGATTCCAGCAACATTACAAAAGAATTTGTTGTTAATTAATTGGTGTATTTTTAAAATTGTTATCTTAATATACATATTTTACTAAAAATAGTAATATGTATTGGGATTTGTTAGAATTGAGATTTTGCCAACTAGATGTCGAACTGGCATAGAATGATTTATTTAATTTTTAGCTATTGAATTACAAGAGTAGGTAATTTGCTATTTTGTTACTAATTATTGCTATGCATACTGTTTTTGTTCGAAATGTTTAACAAAACTTTAACCCCAATAATGTAGGTAGCCAATTTTATTAAGGATGTGGTAAACATTTTTAATTAACTACCTGTATCTTTGATACATTTTTTGCTAATTAGTTGCTACTTATTTACTGCATACCTATTTAAATTTTTATTGCAACAATTTGAATAAAAAATTAACTATTTTCGAGTATCTATGTATATATCTAAATATTGAAGTAATCTAATTATAAAAGCTAATAAGAAGCAAGAGGGTACAGGTTTGTGGTCAGTAGTCTAAAAAAATTTAAATTCTTCCCTTTAACCCTTATTAAAATCTGATAAGAATTCATTCAAGCACAAACCCTGTAAGAAGGAAATTTTCTTTACCGAAATACCGAAAATACCAAGTTTTGGCCTTGAACAATCCATTTAATCAGCAACCCCAATTTTCAATATCCAATTATAATAAGTAACGTAATTTTATTAAACCAACATTGAAAAAATCCGCTACCCGCCGGTTTTACGGTTTCATAAAAAACCAAACATAAAACCATTAGGTCTGTAGAAACGGTGGAAAACACCAACACGACAAAAAAAATACCATTAGTCATTCGCCTGGGAAAATCGGGGTTAAAATCCTCAGCACCACGTGTCTTTGCCCCGCGAAATTTGAAGGCCAAGTGCAGGCTACATTGATTTTGCCAGTTGGCATGCGCGAACCACGAACATTCGGGATACCTTACGGAAAATCTCAAATAATGTTAACGCAAACTCGTGTCTTGAAATTTCCAATTTTTCACTCAACATTTGCCTAAATTCGATAAATTTATTGAAAGCTAGTTTACTAATATTACCCCCAGGTAGCTGAGCTAAGAAAATTCAGAAAAACTGGCATAGAACAGATTGAACCTAATAATGTATGATGATTGAGAATTTTAAAATGGTTATATTTGTTCATATAACACATCATTTATGAAAAACTGTAATGAACGGTACTTTGTTAATGAAGTAATACGCATTTTTATGTAACACTTTACACTTCTTCCCTTTTCCAAATAATATTTGAATCAGATTTACAAGATTTTTTTGCTCATTTCATCCAGTCTTTTTTAGAAACGGTCCATTTTAGTCGAAACTACAAGCAAATTATTGACATTTACCTACTTCCATGTTTTTTAATTAACTAATTTTTAATTATTGGATGCAAAATTACGTTAGGTACTATTGTTTCGTGAAGAAGAGTTTAAAAATTAAAATAATAAGGTACCATGTAAAGAACCATTAGATATTGTGGTGAGATCCATTTCCCATTTCCAAACGAAGTATCTATCTCTGATTGACTTGATTCTATCGATTACTTCAATTTTAATATCACTACTGATACAATGAAGGACACAAGAATACGTGAAATACCACATGGTTATATGGAATTACTAAGGCAGTGATTTTATGGGAAGTACCGAAAAAAAATCATTTATACCTTCATTTTCAATCCATACCCTATTATTGTCTCTTTGCAAACTTACATTTTACATATTACAATAAAATTTCTTTCAAACTTCTCTTTTATTTTATCTTCTCCTATTTATTGTTTTTTCTTTTCTTAATTTCTTCCTTCAATATATAAATTCTTTCAAGTTTTTTTTACTTTCATTTTAGCAGTCCCGTAATGTATCGTGAAGGTCTCGTGAAAGTTGGTTTCGTTCGCAATGGGAGAGATGGCGCTGCTTTTATCGCGCGTGTGGCGGTTCCTGCTCCACCTGATCCGGTAACGACTCTGCCGCTAGCCCCGAGAGGGCGTGTGAGTCGCCGAAAACAGCTGTTGACAGTTCGTACTGAATGTTAGAAAAAAGAAGATCCGAAGTCAACTGTCATCTGTCAACCAGAGCCAAAAAAGAACCGCTCAATGCTCAACTCATGATTTTTCTTGTTTATTCCAATAATAATTACGTGTTTTTCTTGTGGATACAACAATAAAGTTTGTACATCGTTAAAAGCAGTTTTATGGGACCCCTGTAAACCCATAATTGGTGACCCCGAAAGAACTTAGAAACTCTAAAATACGTGTTGACCTGTGACGTGCCACGTGCTACAAACAATACAAAACTATAACAATTTCGTGCAATAGTGTGCATCGTGTGCCGGTCAATTGGCCCACTCCAGCCGCTTCGTACTGCAAACAAGAACTTATATACCTTTTTTTATTTTTGTCTCGAACAACTAAACTTATACGCAAATTTACAGATTCGAGTGAAACAATAATTATGTCTCGCGAACAACAAGCAGATCCTGTTCCGGAGGATGACTGCCCGTTTCTTCCTGCCTCAAACACAAACCCGGGAGAGCAAGCACAAGGTCACAATCAAAGCTTAATAGGCGAACCACTACTTTTGAGTTCGTACGTACCTTCTATGAATGTCGACGCTGTAGCTACCTGCAGACTGCCTCCTTTTTGGAAGAATCATCCTAACATGTGGTTTATACAAATTGAAGCACAATTTCAATGCAACAAAATCATTTCGGACGGTGCTAAATATAATCAGCTTATCACGGCGTTAGATGCTGAGACGATGATAGAGGTATCGGATGTTTTAAGGAATCCTCCCAGGACGAACAAATACGATCATTTAAAATCTGAAATCATCAACAGATTCACCGATTCAGCTGATCGACAGCTGCATAAAGCTTTAACAGAATTGCAACTCGGAGATAAGAAACCGAGCCAGCTTCTTCGACAAATGACAGCCTTGGCGGGTGACCGAGCAACTGAAGACGTACTACGCGTGCGTTGGTTGGCATTGCTTCCCCCAAGCACTCAAAAACTTTTAAAAATCCTTCGTTCGACAACGCTGGACGAGCAAGCCAGATTCGCAGATGAGCTATTGGAAACTCAATCAGGTTCTTATGTAATGTCTACCAGCAGGGCCGATAATCGATCATATTCACCCAGCAATGGATTTACAACTTCAATTTTGAACAATCTAGCTCAGGACATGGCGGCGATTAAACTCTCATTATCGGAGCTCATTTCGCTAACCAAAGAACGTGCTGACTTTCGGAATCAAAGAGGCCGCAGTTACAGCCGTGCAAGCTCCAGACCTGCATCACCAGCTCCCAGTCGTATATGCTATTATCACCGCAGATTCAAGGAGAGAGCCAACATGTGTACACAACCGTGCTCCTTCGTACCGCAACCTCAGCCGGAAAACTAAAAAAGCTGTCGTCAATTCAGGCGGTTGGCGACAGCAATAACAACATCCTGAAACAGGAACACCGTCTTCACCTCCACGATAAAAAAACGAATATGAGATTTCTTATTGATTCTGGGTCGGTGATATCATTGGTTCCAAAATCATCTTTTAATACAAGGCTAAAGCAGGATGACGTTCTTCTGTACGCTGCAAATGGTACAACGATTCATACTTACGGTCAAAAAACATTAACTCTTGACTTCGGTTTACGACGGGCATTCAAATGGTCCTTCATTATCGCTGACGTGCAATCTGCCATCATTGGTGCGGATTTCCTCACTTATCATGCCTTACTCTTGGACTTGAAGGGTGGTCGACTCATAGACCCGATCACCTCTTTCACCACAAAGGGCCAAATTTTCCAGGCAGCAGTACATAGTGTTTCGACAATCGACCAAATTAATTCCTCTTCTGTGGAATACAAACCTTACACAGATTTACTGAACGACTACATCGATATAACTAGACCTAACGCTGCACCCACCACCTGCGCAGATAGCTCTGTGGCTCATCATATCATCACAAAAGGACCACCAGTTTTTGAAAGATTCCGCAGGCTAACTGGCGACAAACTAAAAATAGCGAGAGAAGACCTCGACATGTTACTACTCCATGGAATTATCCGTCCCTCCAGTAGCCAGTGGGCCAGCCCGATTCATATGGTACCAAAGAAACTTGGCGGCTGGCGTACCACCGGGGATTATAGAAGCTTAAACTCACTTACTGTTCCAGACCGCTACCCAGTTCCACACTGCGAGGATATTCTTCAGCGACTCCATGGCTCCAAGATCTTCTCCACTATTGATTTGGTGCGGGCTTACTATCAAATACCTGTGAACCCAGACGACGTACCGAAAACCGCCGTAACAACCCCATTTGGACTTTTTGAATTCCTGGGGATGCCGATGGGTCTCCGTAACGCCACACAAACCTTTCAGAGGCATATGGATAACCTTTTTAGGGGTTTGGATTTCGTGGGTTGCTATATTGATGACTTGATAGTGCATTCCGTTTCGCATGAGGATCATCTCAAACACCTTTCTATCGTTTTTTCTATTCTACGAGCAAACAGACTGACCATCAACCCGTCAAAATGCCAATTTGGCAGGACAGAGGTGGCATACCTGGGTCATACGGTGAGCAAAGACGGTTTCCGCCCACCGGAGGAGAGAATCCGGGCCATTGTTGATTTCCCAAAACCTGCGACCGTCAATGACCTACGCCGTTTCCTTGGACTGATGAACTATTATCGCAAGTCTATCAAGGGGGCTGCGAAACTCCAGGCCCCGCTAACCAATTTTTTGAGTGACGCCAAAAAGAAAGACAAACGCCCGATCCCTTGGACAGGAGAGGCCGAGGAAGCTCTAGAGGCTTGCAAGCGTGGCATCATAGAGGCCGTAAGAATTCCATTTTTGGCACCAAACTCGCCTTTGATGCTTAAGACGGATGCGTCTGACACGGCAATTGGTGCAGCCGTTGAACAACTTCAGGACGGAGAGTGGTTACCAATAGCCTTCTTTTCGAGAAAACTTAGCCAGACAGAAACTCGCTATAGCACCTATGACAGGGAGTTGCTGGCAATATTTGCCTCCATCAAATTCTTCCGCTATATACTTGAAGGTAGGTCTTTTGTCATTCAAACGGACCACAAACCGCTGACCTACGCATTTTTACAACGCGCTGATAAAGCCTCCCCGCGACAGCTCAGACAATTAGACTACATTTCGCAATTCACGACTGAAATTATTTACACTAAGGGAGAAGAAAATGTAGTAGCCGACGCGCTTTCTCGAATTAATGTAATAAATATGCCCACAAAGCTAGATGCCGAAACAATAGCCAACGCTCAACGGAACGATGACCAGTTAGCCGATCTGCTGGAAAACACGTCGCTTACCTTACAGAAACTGACAATTGATGGTCACACTATACTGTGCGACGTTTCCAGTGGCCGCATTCGTCCATTTATTCCGTCCAACCTCAGGCAGGAAGCCTTTAAAACCGTTCACGATTCATCTCACCCAAGTGGCAGATCTACGGTCAAACAAATCAGAGAGAGGTACGTCTGGCCAGGAATTAAAAAGGACACTCTTCTCTGGGCTAGGCAATGCATAGCCTGCCAACGTTCGAAAGTACATCGCCATAACCGCACTATCCCAATGCACATCGACGTACCAGATAATCGCTTCGATCATGTTCATCTTGACTTGATCGAACTACCGACCGTCGGAGGCCTACGTTACTGTTTAACCATGATAGATCGTTTCAGTAGATGGCCTGCTGCTGTTCCTCTCGCTAACATATCCGCCGACACTGTAGCTTCAGCTTTTTACAACCAATGGGTTTGTCAATATGGAACTCCGCTCACAATCACCACAGATCAAGGGACCCAATTTGAATCCGCACTTTTCAGGGCCCTTGCCAAGTTAATTGGAGCAAACAGAATTCATACGTCGCCTTATCATCCGCAAGCAAATGGCTTAATTG